AGGTCTAAATTTAACCACTTTGCACTTCAGCCCATGAGTCATGCTGTTATTTCCACGTCTCTTTTACCTCCTTCCGCCTCTCACCCGAAAGTTTTAGATGCCAGTTTATTTAGAAAATGGTGCTGTTGGTCATGAGAGACCACCAAATCCAGTGCTTTGGATGGAACTGGAGGACATTATGTTAAGTGAAATAAATCAGACATAGAAAGACAAATAGTGCATGCACTAACTTACATGTATAGCTGAAAAAGAAATGTTCTCATAGAATTAGAGTCAAATAAGACATATTCCACGCTTGTATAAATATATCAGAACCTGGGAAGGATGTCAGGAAAGGAGAGAAGGAGAGAGTGATAGGTAATAGACTTGAGTGGTGGGAACATGAGGTTAAGGGAATAATTCTATAAACTGGGCCCAGTGTGTGACCCCACATGCTTTCTTTCAAAAAGCAATTTACTGGCAGCCTGGCCCTGCTTAAGTCAATAGGATGTTACCTTCCTCAGCAACCAATCTGTTGTCTGCAGGAGAAATCCAGACCAGAAATGCCCATAGGGAGAACATAAGTTACCCTGAAGGGGAGGGGCGCCTTTTATGACCCTTACACAGACCAGGTTTCAGAACTCAAAGAGAGATAATTCCTGCTAACCACAAAATCTGTAAAAACAGGTTCCAATTAGAACTGATTGACATGGGCCCAAGTGACCTAGAGTTGTCCTAAACCTTTACCAAGCATAGTGGGGACTTGAAAATCTGATGTCATCCTGTTGTCAGTCAAAAGTCAAGAGGTGGACGGGCAGGACTCTCTGGAAATGTCCCTGGAACTCCCCATCAAACTGGAGGGCAGGAAAGGACAAACGTCCCTCTGCTCTGTGAGGACCCGCTCTCTCCCTTTAGAGTACCCCCTTTCCTATCGAGTCTAGTAAACGCACGCCTGCTACTCTGAGCCACATGGCTGAAATCTTTCTGGAGTAATCACAAGAATGGGTGAGAGAGAGGACTGCTGTGGCTGCCTCAGCTCCAAGGCAGGCGTTTGCCCGGTAATAAGAGGATGGTGAACAGGCATGGGGTTGCAGTTGTATAGAAAAAATGATTTTTGTTTGTTTTATTTTCCACCAAGTGCTGGGGATTCAATCCAGGGTCTCACACATTGCTGAGCAGAAGGAATGATTCTAATGTTCCACAGCACAATAGGGCGGCTATTATTGACATTGAGTTGTGTATTTCAAAATAGATAGTACAGAGGAGTTTTAATGTTCCCAACACAAAGAAATGATAAATGTTTATATGTTTATATATATATACATATTTTTTTTGTGTGTGTGTGTTCACAAATCCAGTGCTTTTCTCTCCCCAGGTGGAGTCTGAACACCAGTCCTTACTCCAGTCCCACAGCACTGGCTTCTGGGCCATTTCAGCAAACAATGATTAATCTGTCATTTGGTAGAGGTGGGATGAAGGGGGCTTCTAACTGCTTTGTTGACCAAGTTTTGATAGTCCCTCCTTTGAAAATCATTCTTTTTTACACTCAAGACTTTCTCTTTATATATCAATTTTTGCTTATGTTTTAAAATTTACTCTTTGGTTGTTTTTGTAATACTAGGGATTGAACTCAGGACCTTACACATGCTAGTCAAGCTCTGTTTCCTTGAGTGACACCCCCAGCCCCATGTGCCAATTTTTAGAGTACTGAATTGGGCTCCTTTGAAGATTTTTCTTCACCTCTGACAGTCAAGTGTGCAGCAAAAAATAGTTACCCACCAAGTGCTCATAATTCATCCTTTCTTTTGGGGACCCCAGGCAGTTAGGCAAAACCATGAAACTAGTTCAGGTCAGTGAAATGGGAACAGAAATGCTGTGTGTTATTTACAAGCTGGGAAAGAGAAAAGCCCGCTGGCTGTCTTCTGGAATCTTCCTTTCCTTGCTCCAGCAACCAAGACCAACCCTGGAAGTTCCAGATGGCACAGCGACAAGATGGTGGAGCCTCTGCCCCTGGGCTTCTGAGGGACTACAGAGAACAGACCCATAATGGACATACAGTGTGAGTGAGAAATAGACCTGTGTGCTGTGAAGCCACTGAGATTTGGGGATTAGCATATTATTTAAGCATAGCCTGACAAACCACACTAATATGCACATAGTTCATAATGCACAGAGTTCTGCAGCCAAAAAATCTGTTGTGAATTTAAATAAGTGATAGATGACATAAAAGGATTCTCTTTGGTGACTCAATGGAAAACTTGCTTTAGCAGGCTCTTAAAACTGTAATCCTAACAGTTTACATATAAAACATTCTGCTTCAAGACAAAGTTATCAGTTGGATAAGAAGCTGATTTTTTGGAAGAGATGGGAGATCATACTGGCATTCTTGCTACAATTCTCAAAAAAAAATTCAAAGACAAATTAATTTCAATCCAACACACTTTATTCTTTTCTTTTTTAAAATTTTTTACCTTAATTTTCAATGATCAAGTATTCAAGATGTTGTAAACCAAGGTTTATTAGTACATTGACAATCGGTTTCATCGAGCACAAGAAAATCGAACATCTTTTAAATTACCCTAACAGGTCTCCAAATAAATATTAATCCTAAAAATCACAAAATCAAACTTTTTATTTAACAAACTAAAAACAGCCTTTCGTCACAAGCACACCTCTACACAGAAAAGTCACGCACACAGATCACACGCTCCACTGAGATCCTAACGCCAGTTTACCCGACAGGGTATTTATTGGACACAATATTACGTTTCCTTAAACTAAAATGTTAGAGGTTGATCTTCCCACTTCATGCTTCTAAATTAACAGTTGGTGTTTTGGGTAGAGGTATATATCTTAAGTAAAATGCCCACTATCAAGTTTTACCAATAATTCTTATTTTTAATTTCTAGATACAAACTTGAAGCTTCTTTCATTCACCACTTTGGTTTAATATGACCTTACAATTACTTTAGCCTTCATAACCATTTCTCCTTCAATTTTGACATGTAGAATAGACTACCAGGAAAAGACGACACCCTCAAAACCCCACTGCTAAAAGCTGTAGGGTTTTCAGAGGAGAACTAAGAAAAGATCATGTGAAACAGTTTTATTTTACCTTTCTCTGAAATTATTTTTAGCAGCTGATTATGCTGGCTGGCTAAACTAAATATCAAAAGCACTGAGTTTTCCATAGAAAAGTATCCCCTCCTGAACTCTTCATTTTTGCAGCATAGAGTTCATACATTAACTGTTGAAATGAGAGTAATGGGTGCTTGTTTTCTGGGTATTTTTCCAGACTTCCAAATGCAAAGCACATGCAACCCTTTATCAGTGAAATACTGTGAATTCAGTAGTGAACATGCATCATTTTTAGCACCAAGGCATTTTTTTTTTTTCAAGATTGCAGAAGCAAACAGCTAAGGAAGGTTTTGGTCACATTAGAACCCTCCCTTAGGGCTGAGTTAAAATGAAGTGCTTAAAGTGAAACCTCTTTAAACATACACACATCTGATTCCAACACAACAAGAAGTCTGAGACAGATGTAGTCAGCAGCAATCCTGGAAGATGAAGGAGAGAAGACAGAAAAGATAAAGTGCACAAGGAAACTAATCTCGCCTGCCAGCCACACATTCCCTTTATTATGGAAGAGGAAACACACTGATGTGTAAAGGCTACCTACTAGTCTGTCAAACAGAGCATTTGTAAGCTGTCCTCTAGGCAATTCTGGGGTTACACAGTATTTTGATATCTGCTACTTAGAATACTCAGTATGCACCTATTTATCAATGGTTAAGAGTCTTGTTCTCTATCATCTATGATATTTTAAGCACACACACATAGGCCACCACCCTAGGGTTGGACTAACCTCCTGTTCCCTGGTACAATACAGAATTCCCACAAAGATTTCAGGTCTATCCAAACTGTGAAGCTTCTCCCTTGTGCACAAAGGGTTTCTACAAAACAAGCTAAAAAAAAAAAAAAAAAAAAAGAAGAAGAAGAAGAAGAAAGAAAAGAAAAAACATTCTGGCTCCAAGTCCACCAAAGAATGCAAGCTGGGGTTGTGGACTGAAGAAACATTTTCTTAATGGTTAGTGAACATATAGGATGGCCATGACCTACACAAGCCCTACAGGGCGGGGGAAGGGAGGAAGCAGCTCCCTAGCTCCCTTCTCTGAAGCCTGATTCTTCCAAGTCATGTGTGTGAGAAATAAAAAGTCTGGCGGTACATTTTCAAAATACTTATTTATACCAATTCAGCCTTAATTAAGTCCAACTGTAGCCATTCTAACTGTAGCCCTTCCCCTTTGTCTGCCCCAATTTTAAAATTAACCAATCAGGTAAGATGTAACCCTGAGCTCTCCAATCAGGGCAAAGGGCAGCGCTAAGACTTAGAAATGCACGGACTGACTGCGGGGTAAGCCTGCAGGCCAGGTTCTGATAGCATGTGGTTCTGGCATAAGTAAAGCTTTGCCTTGCCCACCCCTTTTGGAGCACGAGTTTGATTTCTGGCGGCACCTCTTTATTTCTACCATGTGCTACAGTGCACTGTCACAGCACTAAAAGTAACAATCAGGGTCAGTGGTTTGGTTTGTATTTTTGTATATACTCATTTTTTATAAATTTTTTTAATATTTATTTATTAGTTTTAGGTGGACACAAAATATTTATTTATTTATTTATTTATTTTTTGAGAGAGAGCGAGAGAGAATGTCAATATTTATTTTCCAGTTTTCGTGGGACACAACATCTTTGTTTTTTTTATATGTGGTGCTGAGGATGGAACCGGGCCCCACGCATGCCAAGCGAGCGCGCTACCGCTTTGAGCCACATCCCCAGCCCCACAAAATCTTTATTTTACATTTATGTGGTGCTAAGGATGGAACCCAATGCCTCGTGCATGCTAGGTGACGCTCTACCACTGAGCCACAACCCCAGCCCTTCATTTTTAAGTCTTTACTAGGAATCTTAAAACTCATGTTTGCCAATAATAGTAACAGAAAGGTTAATATTCTGAAGGAAAGAAAAAAAAAAATACATGTGAAATCCCAAAGCTCCCATTCAACAAATCTGAACTCTTCAGAAGTTCTGCTGAAACTAGATGTTAACACCCAAATTGGATTTGTTCTATGTTAAATATGAACTATAAAAATATTTGAGGTATTGTTTTGACAAGTGATTTTTAATATTACACTTGGCTAAACAAATGAAATTTACTTTGAAAAATCTAGTTAAACATCAAATGCTGATGGTTCCTACAGGTGTTTTCTACGATCTACACAAAGAAATAATAATGTCTTTATTCTTCAGAAACAGTAATACATAAAATAATGAAATAACCTCACTATTTTACAATCACATCTTGCTTTATTAACCAAAAGCTATTTTCAACATTAGGTAGCATAAAAAGTGAACAGTGGAGTGAGAGAAACCTATATCTGAATTTGCCCCTCTGTACAATCCTAAATAAGTTACTTTACTTTTCACATTCACATCTATTTTTTAAAATTAACAAAAACAAGGTTGGGGGTGTAGCTCCTTGGTGGAGTCTGTGCTTAGCACATGTGAGGCCCTGAGTTCAATCCCAGCACCACCAAAAAAACAACAAAAACAATAAACTCCTTGCAAGTTATTAAAAGGATGAAGATGAATGATGTACATTTAAGTGTTTGATAAAATAGCACTAAAAATAGTCAACACTCCACAAATGATCATTTGTGTCCTCTCTGCTCCTCCTTTCCTCTCACTCCCCAAACCATGATTCTGAGTGACTGTTAACTGTTTTCAAGAAATAAATTTACCTACCAGGAATAAGGATTTTATACCAATGAACATAACCAAGAAGGTGTTCCAACCACCCACCCACTCTTTGGGTGTTTCTAAATTAATGGACTCAAGGATTATATTTGCATATTAAAGGCAAATAATACAGTAATTTACAGAGTTGATAAAGGAACAAGATGACCTTTTGCCAGAACAAGTAATTTGAAGCCTACGTGCATGAGGAGTAGCAATTAAAACTTCTAATAGGAGTGTGACTATAAAGTAACATGACCAATTTATTAACAAACACATAAGACCTTATATACACAGTTAGATGGTATCATCTACAAAATAGTCGCTCAGTTGGCTAGGTCACATTCCAATTACGCTACCAGAGCTCAAAGCATTTGGGGAACAATTCTGAATTGGTATTATTATTATTATTCCAAAATAATCACTCCTTCAAGACTTATACTACTTATTCTACATTTTTACCAACAACACTGCAATGATACACCTAATATAAATATATAAGTATCAGGAAGTACAATATTAACATGTGGTGCACATTTCTGGTCAATTTCTTTGAGCTCTGGCCCAATCACCCCAAAAGATTCCATGGATTTCAGAGGCTAATTGGTTAATAGTACCTGACAAGTAGCTGGTGCCCAGTCCATGATTGCTGAATTGGTGGCCTTTTGAGGAAGAACAATAATTACTCATGGTGAGTCCAACAATCTTAATACCAAAAAACAGTGCCAACTCCACCAGAAGTCTCTTAGTGTGGTATCTTAATGATCAGAGAAAAATTAAGAAACCACCACCCCTCCCCACTCTACACATCTACAGCTCCAACACTAAAGGAAAGTTTCCATTCTAAAAAGAATCAAGGTCTTCCACAGAGGTAAAGAGGAACCCTGAGTCCCAGAGAAGACACTGGGTTCATCAGCAACGTGTTCCAAACCGTCGGTGTGCACCACATTGACCAAAGTTTGACAGATACCAGTGGAACTACAATCTTAGCCCAGCAAGAGAGCCAAGCCCAGGCAGGGGATGAATGGAAGTCCCTGTCACCTGAGACACTTGCAGACTTTGTTTAATGTAACAGTAATGACCCTCTCTGCAAACTGCTTGCCACCAAGAGAACCATTTGAACAATGTCATTCCTAAGTGAAGAGGAAAATACTCTGTACCAAGGAACAGACACATGATTTCACCTGTGAAGCCACACAAGGATGATTCAGCCAAAAAGCCTGACCACTGTTGTATGGAAGAGGGCCAACCAGACAAGAACACGTTTCCCAAGTTAGCTCTGTACCTGCGTAGGCTTATGTAGAAAGACTACACAATTCTATTTGTGTTTGGACCTTTCAGTCTCTCACAGTTAAAGCTCATGAGTAACTTTCTGTCAGTCCATTAGTGCTGTCAGGAGGCACCTATCTTAAGAAGCACATAAAAAGCATCCTATGCAGCGCCTAAGTCTAAATGATATGCTGGGAGGTTCTGGAAAGAATGATGGATAAGGAACCCAAAGTGCATTTAAAAACAGAAAAATCCTCTCTCAAAATCACAGCAGGCATTCCACTGGAAGGAAGGAAAGGTAAATCAAACTGATTCTAACTCTGATAAAGTCGAATTCATGTCTACTTTAAGACTGGCGTAGTTTAAATCATTTTCTCTACTTAGGATCATATTTCAGGTCCAGCCCACAGATCTCCCTCCTCCTGTATTCAAAGTGACTTTCATATCCCAGGTTTAGCTTTCCTGATTTAATTACTCATTTCCAGCAGCAGCCACAGCAATTTTCTGTACAGAAAGAAAGAAAACAATACAGATTTCTCCAGTGCTTTAAGCATATAACTAAAATGCTCAGGTGGGACTCAATCTTACCTCTGGAGTTTCTTCTTCGCCTATTTTGAATGTCAAGGTTGCAATTCTTAACTAATCTTATGTCAGTCCTTACGAGCTAAAGGGATTTCTGCAGCAATTTCCTTGGATGAGAAAGCCATCAGTTTCTTTCTTCATGATGCATCTCAAATTAATTTCTAGCCATGTTATGTAGCATACTAGTTTTAAAGCCCCTTATAAAGAATTCTGGAGTTTGTATTCGAGCCTTCAGATTTATGATTCAGCAGCCTCTAACTACCTTATGATGGGGAAGACAAACTGAAAGAGAATGTGTCCTATGAAACGGCATAGCTGTTCCTCTCACTGTGCTCTGCATGTGGTTCCTTTGAAGCATCTGAAAAAGTCTACCTGATTGACAGCTCCGCTATGGCTTAAAACGCTATTAACAGTACTTTAAGGAACCTCAGCTTCTTCCTCTTTTCAAAATCATATCTGCTTTATTCTCTATAAGCAAAAGTAACATGCTGCACTGAACATTTTTCCAATTAAATTGCATAGTTGAGGCAGATTCATTTGTGCTTTGTAGCAGAACTCACAGTAGGTGTTCATGTCTAAAAACTTGGATTTGCAAGGTCATGGTCAGGTTCACCTTTGTTGGGAGTGTATGCTAATGATATGCAGGGCCATTGCCTTTCCCACGATTTGGGTTAACCGGGGTCCTCAGCCTTATGCCATATTGGAGCATGAGCATTAAATTAACATAGCAAAAGTGGTAACAAATGTATCTAAACTCCTCCTTGGAGAAAAGAGGGGAAAGGCTCTCAGTCTAGTTGAGGTATCCAGCCCTCAATCGACAGTGGCTGTGTATACGGAGTTTTGTTGGTTTGAGGATTGCATCTGTTGAGGTTAAAAAAAGAGAGAAGGCACAGGTGTTTCTCAAGCCACCATATTCAACTCAACCAACAAAACAAGTCTTCCATGTTCAAGCTTCGGGAGTGAGGCTACATGGCAGCAGGGCTCTCTTCCAGCCCTGGGTCTGGAGAATTTATTGCTTCTGGGAAGGGCCCCGGGTAGGTCTGTGCTGTGTATGGGATCCCTTTTTGTAGAGCAGTTTCTTCGTGGAATTCTCCCTGGGTGCTGAAGGCTGGACATGATCTAGTCCGGGCATTCTTCTCGGCTTTGTGGGGCTGGCCCACGAGCTCACTCACGGTGCTCAGAGGGAATTCTCTGCACCTCTGCCTCTGCAGTTCGTCCTCTTTGTACTTTATGGAGTACCAGGCCAGAAAAATAAAAATAAAGCCAACAAATTTGAGGCCAGCCGCCAAACCAAAGTAGACAAAACGAAATGATGTCACGTTGTACTCCCAGCAAGAGCCCTGTACCCCACATTCCTGTTGCCAGAGCATGCAGGTGGTGTCAATAACTGCTCCAAAGTAGATCGGAGTAGGAATGTATGCTAGGGTTGGGGAGAGAAAGAAAACCATAAAGATTCAGTACATCTTATACAAGAAATCTGACTTGTAAATTAGCAAGGTACTCGTTTGCTCAAAAACCGGCTAAAGGGAGTGAATCTCTTGTGTTACTTGATTTTTTTAAAGATATATCACAATTCATTTTAAAAACATTCACTAAATGGTGAACACTTAAAATCTTCCATGTTGCAACTCAGAATGTGTTACTGGTTTTTAGGATCGTTAAAAAGTGTCTATTGTGTGTGTGTGTGTGTGTGTGTATACACACACATATATAATCATCACATTGTACACTTCAGATACATTTTTTATTTGTCAGTTATAATTCAATAAAGCTGGAAAATGTCTATTGTTAAGGATGCAGCTACAAAATCCTTTTAAACTTCTAAAAAATGGATTTTGTCATTAAATACTTAAGAGGCTAGAACACTTCATTGCTCACCAAAATTCAGTACACCTAATTCTTGTGGGCTGAGTCCCAGTCCTTGGATGTAGAAAGAGGAGGGGGCAAGTCTTGTCCCTCTTTAGTCAGACACCACATCAGATGGCAATTTTAGTATAAGGGCGCTGAGGGTATGGAAATAATTATGGCATAAAATTCATCTTTGAAGCTTATAAAACATCCAGATGAGTAGCAGCTTTGTTGTTTGGGACACGGTAGAGACATTGCTTTGATCCCGGCAGACAAAGCCTACCCAGTAGATGTCCTTCATCACATGCTTTGTCAAATGTGCCCGACCCCCAACTGGTTCATCTGACAAATATCTACCCCTCCTTTAAATTCCAGACTCAGAAACCACTCTGTGCCCATTGTGAGTTGTTTATTAACTATCACATACTGTTTTATTAAATCACTGGTCAATTTGTCACCCCAATGGCACAGCCACACCTTTTATGCTTTCCTGCCCAGGGATATATCAGGACAGCCAGAGAGCATCAGCAAGAGGGCACAGAGGAGGCACTGGCTTAACTTTACCTCCAAATCCATCCCAAATAACCCCAACTCCATGGCATCAGAGAGAAGCCGAGCAAAAGGAAGGAACTTTTTTTTTTTCTTTTTCTATTCAGCCACCCCTTTGGTTAACAAATTTCCTTTTGGAAAATAATACTTTTTAGTTTTCAATGCAAAGTATAACTATGTGTACACATGTCCAAGTTTCCTTTAACCAGCATTCTTTTTAAAACCAGTACTTTCAAAGACACCAGTAACAAAAGTCAAGCCACTCGTTAAATGCAACTAGAAGCATTTTCCTTCTGGGCTTATTGGAAAGTGCCCATTAATGGAGTAGGCCATGAACCCCAACATTCACAAAGTGAGAATTCAGAGAGGATTAATGCTTCAGATGGGGAAGACGATCCCATTTTGAAATGTTTTATTCTTCAAAACTGAAATTTGAATCAAAAACCCTTCCCCCCACCCCTGTGGAAAATAATAATGATTACTAGGGGGGAAAATAGCAGCTGAAGAAAATGACAGGCTGACACTAAAGAAGGAAAAGATAAGCTTGATGAGGACGTCAGTCAGCAACACACGGAGGCAACAGGCTTCTCTTCACAGCTCATTTCCCACTCGCTGTCCCAAGACCTCACTGGGGGGCATCACCTTTGAGAAATTATTCTTCCTATGCACTAAGGAATGCACATGTGTTCTCTCTCTTTACCAAGATTTGAACCCACACTTGACAGTAATCTCTGGGTGTTGCTTTGGGGATTGATTATTCTTTTTAGAGTTTCTTTACCTCAAAAAACTTGGTATGTATATTCTTTGCTCAGTCCAAGTAAATTATTAAGAACAAGAAATTGAAATTTTCACAAGTAAAACGAGCACCAATTTGTCTCCTCTCTAGATTAAAAAAGGAGTAAAGGGACCAAAATGCTAAGATAATAAACCGATTAAAAAATGTCTTCATTGAATATTTCCTACTGTGCAAAACTGTCTGGGGAATTTTGCCCAAGTTTATGTTCACAGTCAAAAAGAAACTGACCTAAAATTAGTTTTGTTGAAGTATTTTTTTTCATCAAATAAACTTGTCAGCTTTTAGTTCAAATGGAAAAAAAAAAAGGAAATGTACCCTCACCACAAACCTGTAAAACTCCTAGCTACGAATGGTAACAAATGACTTGACTTGCCATTTTTAAAGGACAGTGAGTATTTGCCAGTTGCAAGGAGGAACTAAGAGGCACGCTTGGAAATTCAGGGACGTACCAAGTGTTCGCAACAACACAAACTGCATTCCCAGGGCAAAAGGTCTCTCCTCATCTTCCACAGACCTACAGTGAAGGAAGAAAGAAATGTTTTAAAATGGTGGTCCCAAGAAAAGACATCAAATCAAGCCTGTTCTGTGCGGGGCGAGGGATCAACTGGATGCTGGGCAAACATACTCAATCCACTAGAATTTAGTAACAAAAGCCAAGAAGACTGCTGTTGGGAGCTCACAGAATAAAGGTCTCCCCAAAACAACTCAAAGGAAAGTCTGATTAACTCTAACTGTTTCTTTGTAAGCCCTGGTCGAGGATCAAAGGACCTCAGCTGAAGGGGCAGAAGCCTTTCTGATTGGGCTTCCAAAATCAGTTCTTTTTAAAAATTTCATAAAATTTTAAACATACCATTCACTGTCTCTGTTCACCTAAATATTGCATTCCCTGTTTCTGTTCACCTGTAATTTCCTGAATGGTAGAAGTGTCCAATGAAAACCACTCCCATAATTCTCCCAGAGGAGGAAAAAGGTAAAAGAAAGAAAGAATAAATGACCAAAAAATGGATATTAAAAAAAAACAAGTCAAAAACCATAGAAAGCCAGTGCCATGGGATATGCCTGTAATCCCAACAGCTCAGAGGCTGAGGCAGGAGGATCGCAAGTTCAAAGCCAGTCTCAGCAGTAGTGAGGTACTAAGCAACTCTGTGAGACCCTGTCTCTAAATAAAAAAGACACAATAGGGCTGGAGATTTGGCTCAGTGGTTGAATGCCCCCGAGTTCAATCCCTGGTACCCCATCCCCCCAAAAAAGAAAGACTAAGCTCCTCCCAGCCACATTTTCTGTTTTTTTTAATTAAACAAAGTGAAAAATGATATTACTTAAGTAAGCAAATATATTAATGATTCTTATGGCTTGTTAAATGATGGACCAGCATGGTGGTTCCAGCTAACTGGAAGGCTGGGGTGGGAGAGGTGATTGAGACCAGAGGCTCTCAACCCACCTGGACAACCTAGAAGACCCTGTCTCAAGCAAAACAATGACATACCTTATCCTTTCTATCCCTTAAACAATGGAAATTTTCTGAGGACCAGTATCTTTGTTGTCTTTTCTCTAAATTCTTTATGCCTCATAGCGAATTGCCCAGTTCTGCCCATGTGGTTGTTGCTGTATAAATATCTGCCAGGGGGGGACGGGGTGACTAAACCAGGGGGCCTTTCCTGTGCTGTTATCAGACTCCCAAGGAACAGCTTTTCTGGGAAATGTCTCCCTCACTATCCCACAGGCAAGAAGTCAGAACATGAAGGTGCAACCTGCCCACTCTCAGTAAGGGTGACATATCAGCAGGTGCATCCTGCCAGGTACCCAGCACGGTGGGTTCCAAGGAGCCAGAGGAAGAAGGAGGACTCCCTTCTTCACATCCTCATTGCGCTGCATCCCTAGTCCCCCTAAAACCACCAACAGTTTACTCTTCTTGCTCATCATGCTGCCCTTCCTTGCCCAGTGCAGCCCTTACTGTAAATACCAACACATTAATTCAAATGTACCAGCATCAACATTTTTAATAGAACAAAATTAGCTTTCATATCTTCTTATAAACAGCAACAACAACAACAAAAAAACCAACAGGATATATAATACAGCAAAGAAAACAAGATCCTGAATAAGTGGAAAATCACATTTCCCAGTCTCAACTCTCTTTGATTCCATTCCAAAATTTTATATGATAGTAAAACTAATAAACTCAGCATTTCAAAATGCAGGCCCAGCATAAATCATCACTGACCCAGGAGGTACAAGACTGTCTACAAAGTTGGAGATAATAGCTTTTGTGATATGCATGATTTAGCAACTTTACCAAATTACTTCCTGCCCCCCTCCAGGGTCTGGCTTCCCTGCAGAGGTAACATGGGGGATGACTTTCAATTCCTGAAGTTGAGCCTCTGAGGTCAGAGACTTAAGGAACCAAAGAGACTAGAACCCAATCAAAGAAAGTTCTAGAATATGAAATGTTGCAACCATTCTTTCCCTTCCTGACATGGAAATACTCACCTCTCGAGCTCCCCAGGAGCACTCCCCTGCACCATGGAACCTCACTCTCCTCTCCACGGTGCCCCATCATCCCTTGTCCTGGGATATGTGCTCTGGCAATGCTATTTCACCTCCCACCCCTGGAGCCCAGTGCTGTTCTCACCTGAGTGTCACTATGATGGCTGACGGTTGGGCACATGCTGTGATGAAGGTGACTATGAAAAGAAAAACTAAGAATGGGATCAGGGTGTTGCAGGTCCGTTTGCACTTCCCTGACACAGCATAGCCATTCTCGTTGAGATACGTCTTGACGATGACCACTCGGAGCTGGCCTCGCTGTCCCACTGTGGGCGGGGTGATCACTTGTCTACTTTGGACGCAGGTGCATTCTGTATAATTCCGAATCTAAGTGAGCAAAATAAAGTTAGGTTGTGTGCCAATCAAAAGGAAAATGTGGCATAGGACTATTAAGACAAAGTGAACTAAAATATTCTACAATGGTTACTGCAGCATTTTAAAAATGCAAAATATTTCACTGAAAACACCTTCCTCGCTGATAATGGTAAGGAATCAAAGCATGTGTCTAACAATATCAGAATCTGCCAGTTAAAATTGTTTAAACCTAAACTTTTCTAAGAAGCTGTCAACAACAATTCTATGATGTTTACATTCTGTAAGTTCAACTTGAGTTGTAAACTAAGCTGCTCAGATTGTTTGAAGTCTTGGGCTTTCCAATTATAAAAGCCCCTTAGAAACAGGAACCCAGCCTGATCTTTACGCATGCTTACCAGAGTACCTAGCACAACCCTGATCACCTACCACAATGCTGAGCACATAGTGGACCCAGGTCTAAAGTAAATATCTGCTAAATAAATGGAAAACAATTCGTAACACAATCATGATGGCTTCAGTACAAATAATAGTGAGCTTCTCATTAGTTGTTCTAGTTTAAACACCTTTTGAATCTCCTTTAGTTATCTGATGAACTTCAAGCTATGGATGAATAACCCAATCCATGAATGTAACTTAGGTCTGGTGACCATGGCCCCAGCTCAGTGCTGTTCCTAGACTTTATCTAGAAGCACTGCTGCACCCAAAATCACTTGTCCATTTTTTTCCAACAAATATCTGTGAGTCCATTCTGACAGGCTAGATGCATTCAAGGGACTGACGCTACAGAAGAGTGAAAGAGACAAAATTCTCTGTTAACTACCAAAGTTTTCTCAGTGAAGTGAAAAGTGAAACTTCATTGGGTATTACTTATACAAAACCAAAATAAACCAACAAATGTTTACTCAGTCAATTAACCTTCCTTGCTTATTATGTTCCTTTTTACTGAATGAAAATGTGAACTGGTCCCTGTGGTGAACACTTGGAACAACAGTAAGAACGGGAGTAAAGGGGGTGCTGTTTGGCCAAGGACCTCCAGTCTTCTTAAAAGAAAGAGAGGAACCTGAGGAAGAACTTGGTCACTGAGGGGGCAGATCTCACCCTCCCTCTCAGCACACACACTGGAGCTCACCAATTGCATATAGGGAATCAGAAACAGGATTCTCAATTTATCACTCTAGTTCTAAACTCGGAAATAAAAAAAAAATGGCATCTTCAAAACATCCAGTCAATGTTAAATAGGTTTAATTAAATAGGTTTAATCCCTATCACCTGTGCAGAACAAGCAAATGCATATTAACCTTTCAATTAAAGAAGTGCCCTCCAATCTGTTCTTATGCAAAGAATCAAGCCAGACTCCATAAAGAATGGAGTAGAATCCGCAAAACTTCTCCCACAGTATTACAGCCTATTTATAACTCACAGAGGAGGGGATTCTCAAAATAGCCTCTTCTTGAACAGACAGAAATATCTTTACTCTGAAAGTTAAAAAAAAAAAAAAAGAAAAAGAAGTCTGAACCAACCAGTGGAACTCCATATCATGTACAATAACAAAACTGGGAAGTTACACTCCGTGTATGTACAACGTGTCAAAATACGTTCTGTCCTCATGTATAAATAAAAAGAACAAATGAAAAATTCTTTAAAAGAGTCTGAACCAAACTGATAGTTTGTGAAAAACTGCCATTGCCCATCTTCCCAGAACCAGGGGAGGTGCCTTCCTGTCTCTTCCACCAGCACAAACTGTGGTCTTCGTGACCTTCAAGTCCATTCCAGGGGCCCTGTCAGAAAACAAATGGAAGGCCAGGAGCCCAACCTTATCAAGTTTCCCTGAGTTGACATGGAATGTAAAGTAGAGAGGGCTGACATGGAACCAAATCTCTACACTTAAACACTCCCATCCTCCCCAGCAAAACCACGAGAGCAACGCACGACTCCCTTTCCACAAGGTGTTTACCCGAAGTACTTTGTAGGTTAGTTGGAGCCTCTTGAAAAAGGAGACTGAAGTCATCATGGTTGCATATGAATTCTATCACGTCCTTGTCACAAGACGCTGGATTAACAATAAAAGAGGAATTTAGGAAATCTACTCACCCCAGTGCTAAGATTACCACTGTTAACACAGCCAGCCAGACAGGGGTTAAAGTACGTGATTCCATCTGATCCACACACTGGCTCATATTCATGTATCTTACAACCACAATTCACATTGCAGCTTCCTGTCAGGTTCCTATGAGGCATGGTCAGAGAAGGTCTGAGAGAAAGGAAACAAGCCAGGAGCAGAATTAAAATGAAAGCAAGAGGAAACACCTTGATATTTAGTGATTTGTCCACATTAGCAAGGATGTTCCCATTCATCAAAGCCACAGCATCATGAAACAGCTGCCCTCCATCATGACAGGAATTTACAACACAACATAAAAAGTTTCAGCTTTCTAATATTGCAGATTCAGTAGTTTTTTTTTTTGATCGAATTATCTGTCCTAACTCGATTTTATCCTTCACCTTCATGCTACAGAACTAGTCCTATGTGTAGGCTCAATAATTTGAATTTTTATATAACTCCTCATTTACTGTAAGCCCTTGGCTCTATGTTTTAACATATTTGGGCTGAAACTCCTTTTTAAATTTTTAAATTTATTACTGTTATTGTTATTATTATTACTATTATTATTAGTGTGCTGGGGATTGAGTCCAAGCCTTATGCATGCTAAGCAAACATTCTACCTTTCAGTCCTAGTGTTTTGTTTTGTTTGGTTTGGTTTGGTACCAGAGATTGAACCCAGGGGCGCTTAACCACTGAGCCACATACCCAGCCCGTTTTATTTTTTATTTTGAGACAGGGTCTCACTAAGTTGCTTAGGGCCTCACTAAGTTACTGAGGCTGGCTTTGAACTTGCAATCCTCCTGCCTCAGCCTCTGAGCCTCTGGGATTACAGGTGTGCACCCACTGTGCCCAACTTTATATCACTTTTAATTAACATATAAGAATTGCACAAATTTACAGAGTACAATATGATGTTTCAATACATGTATACATTGTGTGATAATCAAATCAGGGTAATTAGCATATCCTTCATCTCAAACATTTATCAATTTCTTAAACTGTAAAATAGAGAAAATACTTTTCAGTATTGAACCAACAATATCATTGTGAGCATATAAATACGTCAATCAGAGTTATCAATATTGGTTCCTTTAAACGAAAACTTTAGTGGTTCTTGAATAACTTCTCAAAGAAAGAGATGGAACCTGGGAAATCAAAAGGAAGGATTTGCAAAGATGATTGGTTAGAAATCACATCACCAGTTGGATTCAAACAAGAATGATTAAACAGTTCTTTACTCAGGAATACCCAAATGAAGATGCACAATCAAATGTGGTGGGAATTTTTTTTCCATAATATCATGGAGTCAGATAGAAAGAAATGGTACGCTGTGAAAGCTCTCAGAAAGTCAATTCTGGCAATCGGTATAAAGGGAGCAGGGAACCAGTGGAATACAGGGCAGGGGAGAGAAGTGTGAAACGTCAGTGAGGAGCAGAGGCAGGCTGGTCCCCAGAGGAGACCACAGAGGAATGGAAGCAATCACAGTGCTCATAATCATGATTCTGTGCTTCTGTCATCATGCCACCCTCCATGAATCACGGATGAAATATTGTTCCTAAAGCTAAGTGACTTAGCAAAAGCATATCCTTCACTCATCCATCCATCACACATCCATTCAAAAAATATTTTGGAATGTCTGTTATGTGCCACAGCCTATCTTTAATGACTATGTTAGTGCTATTTATCCAGTAGCATAGTCCATCCCAATCCTTATAGTGACCTATAAATTTAAAGTGTTGTTTGTTCCAAGGCTTCCCCCCACCCCGTAGCCTTTCACTGATAACTGAGTTCTCGGATGTCAGTGGGAGAAACAAATTCAAAGCAATATTGAAGTTCTATCAAGAAAGCCTTCTAACATGAAAGTGGTACCAATCCTTTTCTTCATTCATGTCATTCCACAGAAAACAATTTATCACAAGACTTTGGTAATCATTATGTTCATTACTCTTCATATCCAAACATTTTAAAGTTTGAATATACCTAAACAAAGTAACTCTAGACCAATGGTTCTCGACTGGGTCAATTTTGCCTCTCCCCACACCCCGCCATGAGAACACTTGGCAATGATAATTTTGGTTGTCACAACCAAGGAGACGCTATTGGTAACTAATAAGCAAAGACCAGGGATGCTGCCGAACATCATGCAATGCACAGCACATCCCCCTACCTCTCACAATAAAGAACAATCTGGACCAAATGTCAGTAATGCTAAGAATAAGACCTCAGACCAATGACCATATGCCAGGCCAACTACCTATCCCATCCCACTGAGGATGAAATGGCTTAGGACGCCATTAAGACATTCACCCTAAAGCTGAGTAGTGCATGTTAACTGTTATCATATGAAAAGTATTCAGTGGGCACTAATATTCTCTCTACCAGCTCTTTAAGAACCAAAATGCAAGCCAGGACCACATAAAATGGGTTTTACATGCCTGCATGCTTAGTCACGAAAAAATGGCAAGCTTCAATATTGTACCAAGGGTTACTAGTGTTGCTATATACTTGGTATTTCCTATTAACAAAGTGCTTTTACTTCATTTATGGCCACAGAGTTCAAAAACCTTATCCTTTAAGAATACGTCCCTCCAAGAGGAAGGAACCTGAAGAAAACATCAACATGCTCGAGACACACTGACCACAGGAAGACAAAACCTCCACGAGGTTAGGAGACAGAGGACAGTCTCAGGTCACCCTGGGTATGTTTGCTTTTCTCAGGGATCATGGGGATACAAAAAAATGGTACCATATGAAAAGCTCTAAGAAAATCAAATTAGGCAACAAATTTAAGTAGCAGTGAAAGGAAATGGGCCTTCGTGAAAAGTCACTAGGGGAAAAGACAGTTGTGGAACAAAAGCGAAAACTGCTGACGAGGTTCACCCTTTACACTATGCTGATTAAAATAGAAACTTTCTTCAGAAATAATGTCTTCCTTGATTTTAATTCACTCTCCAGAAAACAGCCTAGATTCTAATAATAGTGGAAGCCTTTAAACCTGAATAACAATATTTCACTAACAAGAAATGAACCCCGGATGGCAGCAGAAATGCACAAAGGGTACTTACTGTGGACTGCACTTATCCTTGGGCACAGGGTCCATGCGCCACCTTTCCAAAGAAATGAAAGCATGTCTGGCAACACAGTTGCTTTCCAAATGAAATATTCATTTTAACTCACAAATCAATATAAGTTTTGATTTCAAATAAGGCAAAGGGCCTTGCTAGCAAATGCCTCATAACTGCATGTTCCAAACTGCTGGCTTGAGAGTCACACATTTATATTACTACAAAAATCATGGAATTGTAGAGACAGAGAGATGGAAGGGGTCTCTGAGATTAGCTAGTACATTTGCTAATTTTAAAGAATAAGGAATTCTAAGAGATGGAGTGATGTGCCCCACAATCATTGAGGCCTCAAGAAAATCTAAGGAGACAAAAAAGAGGTAGAGGGAGTTAGAAGGAAAATATAACAGCAATATTGCCCCACTTCTATTAAATCAATATTTATTTAAAGTGATATATAGAAACAGAACAGATTTTAATATAAATTAAAAAAAAAATCTCTGCTGTAAGGCCATTACACCTGGGTATGTAAGAACACAGTTGCCCTAAACACACACACACACACACACACACACACACACACACACACACCAGCAGTTGTGTCCCATCACCCTACCCTAAGACCTAAAAACCACTTGAACTTCCCCAGCTAACACACTTCTTCTGGTGTCTATAATTCAATGAGGAGTTCCCTCATCTTTTTGTCCTCATTTCTCCCTATTAAAATCTGTACAAACTGTGTTCAAGTTTCATGGAGGAAAGGAATATGATCCACCCACTGAAATACACTAATCAGTTAGGGGGGAAATGTACACTTGTCATAATTTCTTAATCTTTATCAATTGATCTCAGCCCTCAAGAAAACTTCCATTAGAATGTCTCAACTCCACTTAAATTTTTGGCTTTGTATTAAAATTCTTTCTTGATTAAATAAAGCTTTGCAACTTCAGATTTATACTTATTATTATCCTGATACTCATCATTATCACTTAAAACTCACATTAACAGAGCTCTATTTTTCCTCTATACAGTGTGCACTGAGATCTCTACACATTAAGTTAGCTCATTCATTCCTCATGAGAATTACAATTGCTCTTGCTGATGAAGCAAAGAAATTGGATTTGAGAGGGCAGGTACTACCAAAATCACATATCTATCTAGAATGAGTCAGAAATGGACTTAAATCCAGTTTTATTTACCTCCATAGTGTGTCCTCTCAAGTCTCTATGCTAGCAGGGCAGTTTTATGTAATTGTCCACAGTTTTGCTTTCTCTAGTTCAAGTCTTCTGGTTGGCTTATCCTGCTTCCTTCTTCCTGGAGAAGGTTCTAATGTTGCTTTCGTGACACAGCTTTCAGTGATCCTGAGTACTAGGCTTGGAAAGACCTGGGTGCAATTCCATCTCCACAATTCACAAAGGCGATGAACTTTGGATTTTACATTTGTAAAATAGATATCCAAATATCTCCATCACACAGTTGTAAAAGGGATTTGGTAAATAAACATATGTCCAGTGTCTAGCAATGTGCCTCGAACATACAGGCTCTAAGGTGCTGATATTCTCTCCATCAACATGTGGCAGAAGTATTAATGGATAAAAGTTACAGAATCACAGGCTGGGATTGTGGCTCAGTGGTAGAGCACTTATTTGCCTGGCATATGTGAGGCCCTGTATTCGATCCGCAGCACCGCATATAAATAAGTAAATAAAATAAAAGATCTATTTACAACTAAAAAAATACATATTTTTAAAAAGTTACAGAATCACAAACATGAATTGTACTAAAGGTCTCCACTGTGTTTTTCTTTTCAAAAAACAAGAAGTATTTTTTTTTTCTCCTACAGAGAATAATGGGAAAAGAACTAGCGTGGACTCTAGTTTCAGGCCTGCCATTTGGTAGCTGCAGGACCTTGGGTCAGATCTTTTCACCTGTGCTATCATGGACCCTTCCTGCCTACACAGAGAGTAAGGATAATCAGTGAAAGGTAGTATATGATAACAGCACAGGTTCACTAGAGGGATGTGGTTGTAGAAGTTGTGATCACTGCATCCAGTTGTTATTTCTATTGTTAAAGCTTTCTTCTGC